CTCCAATTAGAATAGCTAATATTGGCAAGGATGTGGGGAAACTGGAACCCTCCTCCATTGCTGGTGGGAATGTAAAATAGTGCAGCCGCTGTGGAAAACAGTTTGGTGGTGCCTCAAAAAGTTAAGCATAGAACTATCATATGATCCAGCAATCTACTCCTAGGTACACACCCAACAGAAGTGAAAGCAGGAATGCAAACAGATACTTGTACACCAGTGTTCATGGCAGCACTATTCACAACAGCCAGAAGGTAGAAACAACCTCAATGTCCATCAACAGATGAATCAATAAACAAAACGTGGTACATACATACAATGGAAAATTAACCATGAAGACAACTGGAGTTCTGATATATGCTACAACATGGATGGACCTTGTAAACATGATGCTGAGTGAGAAGTCAAGTTACAAAAGGACAAGTATTGTATGATCCCACTTAGACGAACTACTAGAACACGCAAATGCATAGAGACCGAAGTTTATTAGTGGTTATTAGGGGTGGGAGGGAGGGAAGGACGAAGTCATTGCTTAGGGGCACTGGGTTTTCTGTTAACCCAAACCAAAACCCGTTGCTGCTGAGTCGACTCCGACTCATAGCCACCCTATAGGATAGAGTAGAACTGTCCCATAGGGTTTCCAAGGAGCGCCTGGTGGATTCAAACTGCCGACCTTTTGGTTAGCAGCTGTAGCTCTTAACCACTGTGCCACCAGGGTTTGAGTTTTCTGTTAAGGCTGACAGAAAAATTTAGAAACGGATAGTGGTAATGGCTATACAACATGACGAACGTAATTAATGTCACTATATTATACACGTAAAAATGGTTGAAATGACAAACGTTTTGTTATATGTATTTCTACCACAATTTAAAAAAAATAGCAGATAATAAATCAGGTTTTCCAAGGGCATCCCTTAATCTAATTAATCCCTCAAATATTTTCCTCAAAATGGCTGGCCCTCTTCATAATCTTACTGCAGAAAAATGAAGGATGCTCAATGCTATCACATAATCCATTCAGAAAAATCATGCCCCCAAAATTCAACAATTCATTTTCAATACTCGATTCATTCTAAGCTCAAATATGTTAGGAATTTTGCCAAGATATGATAAAATACACTGACTTCCATAGATGTTTTTGTTTTTCACGCTTCACCATTGCTGTTTTGGCCCCCATACTGAACAGGCCTTTTCCTGATACCAATTATCCTTGGATAAGAGCACTGATCCTCCAATGGCTTCAGAAGTCCCCACACTGCCTGAGAGACCATAGTGGCCATGTGACCAGACCACACCTTAGACTGGCAGCTACTCTGGGCATACCTGGGAGCGTCCATCAGGAACGGGAGAGCCTGCACACTGCGTGGGGGAGGCAGGCTGGTTACGAGGGTCTGCAGAACCAGGCTGCAGGAAGTCTAATGCCAAAAAGCAGAAAACTGTCTTCCAGGCCCAGGGACCAAGGACTTTCCATGGGAAAGTCCTTTCTATCCGGCTCACTTGATGAAAGGGTTTTTGCCAGGAAGAACTCTGGCTGAGCCCTCGAGCAGGGGGGTGAGGGGGCTTCTTACCAAAACTGCTTGCCAAAGACAACTCCGAAGAGAGTGAGCCCAGGCCAAGCAGTGATACCAGTACAAGACCTAAAGACACTGACGTACGTGTTTCTCCTAGAGACGACCTGGGCAGACCCCCCAACCACTGTGTCCACAGCAACAGGCTCCCCGCATGTGCACAGAGCTTCCTGTCATCCTTCCAGGGCCTCACTTTCAGTGGGAGTGGGCAGCAAAGCATCAACAGAAATCCGAGGAGAGTCTCCTATGAAGACCACTGACCCCAACAGAGGGAAACCGAGACCACACAGAAGAGACACACAGAACTATCCTTACCATCCCACAGGTAAGATAATCTCTGGACACAAGAAACAAAAAGAGGCCACTCTGCACAAACTCAGAGAACAAAATAAAACCGAAACTTCTGGCTATCAAGTCGCTTCTGACTCATAGCGATCCTACAGGACAAAGTAGAACTGCCCACCTTTTGGTTAGCAGCCGAGATCTTAACCACTGCTCCACCAGAGAACAAAATACAATTTTATAAAATTAAAAATATTAGATCAAATCCCATGAAGCCACCAACATTTGACTGTTTCTGAACAACATACACTGCAACTTCATATGGTTTGACCTTAGGAGAGCAGAGATGAAAACCTCACATATGGGTGGTATGATGAAGAAGGGTGGAGGAAAACTCAGAAAACAGAGTGAAAAGACACCAAAGTGGAAAACAGAAGAGAAGAAAATTAGAGGATTAGTCCAGAACGAGAAACCAGAGGGGAGGAAGTTAAGACATAATTCAAGAAAACTCCTCAGAACTGAAGGACACAGATCTCCAGACTCCAAGGGCTTGTGCGAATGCTTGGCATGATGGACAACATGAAATCCCAAGGCTCCTCAGCGAAAATCCCTGAAAACTAGAGCCAAAGAAAACTTCCTGCCAACGTCCAAAGAGAAAATCGATTCACTGAAGGATGAAAATAAAATGGCCATCAACTCTGGAAAGTAGAAGACAGTGGGGCAATGCCCCCCAGTTTCTGGAGAAATGTAGTTCCCACACAAGAATTCTATACTATCAATTAAATGTGAGGTACAACAAACACATTTCAGACATAACAAAGTTTATAGGACGTCACCCACCAAAGTGAAAGAGTAAGCCACCATTGCCCCCACAAAAGATACGGGATCAAGGAGAGCATCCAACACAAAACAGAGGTAAAAGGAACCCCCAGACGGTGGAGGAAGGCAGTCCCAGGATGCCGCTCCTGGAAGAGCAGGAGGGAGGTCTCATACAAAAACTGGTTCGGTATTAGAGAAATGCAAATCTGAACTACAATGAGATACCATCTCACCCCAACAAGGCCAGCATTAATCTAAAAAACACAAAATAATAAATGGTGGAGAGACTGGAACACTTACACCCTGTTGGTGGGAACGTAAATTGGTATGATCACTTCGGAAATCGATTTGGCGCTTCCTTAAAAAGCTAGAAATAGAAGTACCATATAATCCAGCAATCCCACTCCTTAGAATATATCCTAGAGAAATAAGAGCCATCACACGAATAGATATATGCACACCCATGTTCACTGCACTGTTCCCAATAGCAAAAAGATGAAAACAACCTAGGTGACCATCAACGGATGAACAGATAAATTATAGTATATTCACACAATGAATACTATGCAATGATAAAGAACAATGATGAATCCGTGAAACATCTTATAACATGGAGGAATCTGGAAGGTATTATGCTGAGTGAATTTAGTCAGTCGCAAAAGGACAAATATTGTATAAGACCACTATTATAAGAACTCAAGAAAAGGTTTAAACACAGAAGAAATCATTCTTTGACGGTTACGAAGGTAGGGAGGGAGGGAGAGGTGTATTCACTAACATAGATAGTAGACAAGAATTATCTTAGATGAAGGGAAGGACAACACACAATACAGGGGAAGTCAGCACAACTGGACTAAACCAAAGCTAAGAAGTTTCCTGAATACAACCAAATACTTTGAGGGACAGAGTCGTAGGGGTGGAGGTCTGGGAACCATGGTTTCAGGGGACATCTAGGTCAACTGGCATAACAAAGTTTATTAAGAAAATGTTCTGCATCCTACTTTGGTGAGTGACGTCTGGGGTCTTAAAAGCTAGCGAGCGGCCATCTAAGATGCATCAATTGGTCCTAACCCACCTGGAGCAAAGGAGAATGAAGAACACCAAAGACACAAGGAAAACAGTAGCCCAAGAGACAGAAAGGGCCACATAAACCAGAGACTCCATCAGCCTGAGACCAGAAGAACTAGATGGTGCCCGGCTACCACCAATGACCACCCTGACAGGGAACACAACAGAGAGTCCCTGATGGAACAGGAGAAAAGTGAGGTGCAAAACTCAAATTCTAGTAAAAAGACTAGACTTAATGGTTTGGCTGAGACTGGAGGGACCCTGGAAGACATGGCCCCTGGACTGTTAGCTCAAAACTAAAACCATTCCCGAGGCCAACTCTTCAGACAAAGATTAGACTGGACTATAGGACATAAAATACTACTCATGAATAGTGTGCTCTTTAGCTCAAGTAGATACATAGGCAAGTCCTGTCCGGAGGTGAGATGAGAAGGCAGAGAGAGTCAGGAGCTGGTTGAATGGACACAGGAAATCCGGGGTGGAAAGGAGGAGTGTGCTGTCACAGTATAGGGAGAGCAATTAGGGTCACATAACAATGTATGTATAAATTTTTTTTGTAAACTTTCACTTACAGCACAACAATAAAAAAAATAAGACCAAAAAAAAAAAAAAAAAAAAAAAATACCAGATGAGTACCTGCTGAATTTGTATGGGGTGGGGGAGTAGGATTCAACTCTGTTGTATAGTTTGCTCAGAAAACTAAGCAAGCAAAAATCAGGCAATTGTTAACTCTAGGAAACAAAAAATTGCACAAGAAACAGTCATAATACAGTATTTGGCTCAACAACAAAACATTATTTACATGGGCATAGTAAGGTAAATAATAGTAACTTAAAAAAGATTATGACATAATAGAAATTGTAAAGATGAAGAAGAAAGCAAAAGGGGGAACAGGAGATGCAAGAGTATTAAATGTCTGTGGTCTATAATAGCAAATTAATAAATATATAATGTCTAAATAGAAGAAAGAAATGAAGAACAGCAACTTAGGCTTGCTATTTGGAAATATGGAGATAAATACTAGAAGAAAGATCTAGAGAGTTTAAAGTGGTTGCTTCCTCAGCGGGTGAGAATCGTGGGGAAGGGGAAGGCAAGGGATTGCCGTGGGCACCCAATAAATAGTTCTAGAATGAAGTTCAGCCCAGATAACAAAAGTAGACAACTACGGCTCACTTTGTTACTAGTCCAGATCCTTCAACCAATTTCACTGATCCTGAAACGTGTCTATCATCGTTTTCTGAACAGATTATCACTCAACTAGTTACACGGATGGGAGGGAGAAGTAAAAAAACAAAACAAAACAAAAACCTAGAGGAGCCTGGGTATAGAGACATACTCTGATACACTTCACACTTTTAGAAAGAAGGCGGAGATCGTATGTGTTGAGATGAAAAGACAAGCTTGATGGATTATGTGGTAGAAAAAACAAAATGCATGTGGTTATTTACACCCTCTACATCATGGGCCACACCGGGGGAGGGGACTGGTACTGGTATCTCTGCTACACGTAATAACTAAATTAGAATGTAATAAAAGGAATTAATATGCATAAAGTGCTTAGAGAACAGGGCCTAGCACACAGTAAGTGCTCTGGAAGGATTGCCTATTATTACCATTATCTGTTTTTAAATTCCCTACAGCGGGAGGGAAGAAGACAGTTCCTTCTGCGCATGCTGGGAGAGTCCAGTTGCACCAAGATGCCCTCTAATCCTTCTCTGAGGGGCAAGCCCCTCTCAATCCAAGACCACTAGGGCCTTGGGCAGCTGTCGCTGGTCACACCTCACTCCAGCACGGCTCTCTGCTCTTTCACGGGGTGGGGACAGCCCTCGCCACCAAGACTTCATGAGGAGGGCAGCCTCCCAGGGACCTAGCTACAGAACGCTCTCCTGCCATCCAAACCTCCCATGACGCGGCGTGGCTCGCAGAACAGTGTCAGTCAGACATAAGCATGGGATTCAAAAAGTAGCAAATGACTAAACATGTGAACCCTGATGAAGCACAACATCATGATTTGACTGCATCAAAATGTAATTAAGTTAGGTAAGGGTGTCCTTTATTACTTGGTAATTTCTGGAAAAAATATCTAAGTTTCTCTGTTTGCCTTATCGAAATCTCACACACCCAATCCAGACCTCCCTAAGCTAGCCGACCGGAATGCTGCCTGTGCCCAACCCACCGTGCACTGTGCCCCAAGCTCTTAATGCCCCCTGCAGACCTTCAGCAAGCGGAGGGTGTGGGGATTCTGAAGAGTGTGTGACAGAAGCAAAGCAACGCTGGAAGGAACTGGGATTTTCTTTTTCCCTCCAACAACAGTCGCCCTGACATCTCGGGTCAGGGGTGCACCCATAAGCCACTACAAGGGCCGATGCCACATCATTCAAGCCCGCACAAACTGTCCTTGCGTCCTGTCCCCACCCCCCGCGTGGCCATCAGGCGCCAGCTCACTCACTGCCACCTCAGGAAGCCTTCCTTGCCCCTCATTTTGGGTCAGGAACCAGTTATGTGTCCTCACGCTGCCAGCACGACCTTTTCGTAGCAGCCATTACAAATCCAACAGTAACTTATTACTTGTCTGATGTAGGCCGGGCTGCGCGGCTGTCTGGCTCACTGGTCTCTCCCAGCACTGAACACTGTCCAGAGCACAACGGCCACTCGCCTCCATCAAGTGCAAAGCACCCCCCCACCCCCGGGTAGCTGGACAGAGCAGGCAGGCGGCCCCCACTCACCTGACAGGTTGATTTCTGTTAAGGAGTCTCGGGTGGTGGTGCCCACGGCGGTGAGCAGGTTGATGGACTGGTCGGTGACATGGTTACAGTAACTGAGGTGGAGCTTGGAGAGCAGGGGCATGTGGCGGATGATGAGCCGCAAAGAGGCATCCGTGATGTCCAGGCCCGCGAGGCGCAGCTCCACGATGTTCCGCAGCTTGCTCCGATTGTCCATCTGACCTGGTAGTACAAGAGGGGGAGGGGCAACACGTCACCCTGACCAGGGAGATGTGTTTACGCAGACATGACCCTCAAAAGACCTACCGGCCAGAAGTAACACCTGAATTACGTTTAGCCATAAAGTGTTCCCCAGAAATCGGAATTAGTTCCAACATTCAAAAATCAGAAGGTTTTTAGGTTTCCTGAGTCTCTGAGTTAACAAGGGGTTAAAGTGTTCAGATGTTAACCATCCAGGGGTGCCTTGGAAAAAAGGCCTGGTGATCTACTTCTGAAAAGTCAGAACCATCAAAAACCCTATGAAGTCAACTCGGTGGCAACCAGTAGAGTCCCTTGAAAAATCCGAAGATTGAGAAACACTGAGCCCCCAATGGAAGGAGGAAGGGCCTGGTGTCTCCGGGTTACCCCGCTCGCTCACTGAAGCTGTTGGCGAGGAGTGACAGTCCCAGCATTCAACCTAGGAGGGCTCCGTCATCCTGTGAGCCCCGTCCAGCCATGCTGACCTCAGGGCCTGCAGAACCTGGTGTGTGCAGAGTAGGGTCTCGGGGTAGTCAGAGGAGCCTGCACTAACGGACCCCCCAGAGCCCGAGGCTGACTGAGAACACAGCAGCCTGCACTCATCCCTGCGTCCTTGGGAGAAGAGACTAGTCAAGGACCTCGAGGCCGGGGAAGGCTCGAGTATGCACGCGCCAGATGGAGTCTGTGGTCAGATCAACCCACACTGCCTGGCACACCTCCCCTGCATGATCCCTGGGGCCTGGCCCCGCTGGGCAACTCACCTGGCCTGTTATCCGTGGGAGGGGACAGGAGATCTCGCATCTGCGTGTCCTTGAGTCCTTCCACCCACTGGACATCCAGGGTCCGGAGCAGTGGACAGCTGGAGCTGCAGAGGGCCGAGACTGCGATCCACGAGCAGCCAGACAGCACCAAGTCTCGGAGCCCTGGGTGACAGGGAGGGGGTGGCAGGTCAGGCACTGCCCCCTGGCCTCAGCCCCAAGTGGCTCATTTGGGGTTCGGCCCAGGGCTCACCAGGAAGCCGGTTGATGAGCCAGCTCAGCTGCTTCTTGGAGATGTTTGTCCAGCTGAGGTCCAGGGAGACAGGCTGGCGCCGGATGATGCCACTCAGCATCAGGGGTGTGATGGACTTGCAGTGGTTCAGGTCGATGCGGGTCCACAACCGCTTATCGCAGCACCTGGGCCAGCCGGCCGGAGGGGGCTGTCAGGTGTGGGGCGCACCTGAGCCCCCGTATGGCTGTAGTAACTCTCCCGCACCCACCAAGCTCGGCCCTCCAACCCCTCCTCTGCCACCACAGGCTCCTGTGGGGGCGGCAGTGAAGTCCTCATCGAGCTGTACTGTGTGCTCACTGGGCCTCTATGTGCCATATCACAAAACCACCCTGTAAGGGAGACATCACCTCGTGTTCACAGATGAGGTTACATAACCTAACCAAGGCCAGAAAGCTAATAGATATCGGAGCTGGGATTACATCGATAGCAGGAGGCCCTGCTCCTAACCTAGCTAACTGTAACACAGGGCTCGTCTGGGCCTGACCGCAGCTTCTAAGGAGCCAAGTCCGTAAAGGCAGGAGGTGGCCATCCTCTCACAAAACCAGTCTGGAGTGACCGCCGTGGCCACCTGGGGCTCTTTGTGGAGGATAATAAAGGTGTCATGAGGCCAGTGGAGGCGGCCACGAGTGACACGTTATGTCTACCATGGCTACAGGGGTGACATGTGGGGACACACGTGCCACACAGTCTAAGCCTTGAACCCAGAGCCCCGACCTAGGCCAGCCCACGTGTGCCAGCACAGCCGACACCCTGCTCACCAGCGGTTCCAGGTCCTGCAGACCCGCATGCAGACACACAGGTCTGGGTGGCTGAGGTAGCTGAAGACGGCCATCCACACCTCCCTATGCATGACGTGGGCTGCTCCGTCATCCAGGGGCAGTGAGTCAGGTGGGGGGCTGATGGGGGGCGGCCGGATCACATGCCGCTCCATCTGGATGCACTTGGGTGGGGACACGGAGGGCGGGGGCCGGGAGATGACGCGGGGCGGGCTCCGCAGGCCTGAGCCCAGCTGGTGCCGCAACTCCCGGGGTGTGCCATTGAGGCCCTTGCTGAAGCGGTGGGGGCGCTCACAGAAGCCCAGGGGCCGCTTGGGCTCCTCGTTCTCACTCTCGGGCTCCGACTTGATGGGCTGGTGGTTCTCATTGGCCAGGCTGTTCTCTGTCTTCTGGATCTCTTGGTTGAGCTCCTTGCTCAGCTCCTTGCTCAGCTCCTTGTTGGGAAGCCGCCGTTTTCGGCGCATCTTCACCTTCTTCTTCTCCTCAGGGCCCTCTGCGCCCTCAGTGCTGGGCCCAGCCGTGGGTGAGCTAGAGCGCGAGTGGTCACTCTCCCTAGACTTGGGGGGCGCCTCGGGCAGGTCATCCTCCGGCTCTTGCTTGAAGCGCCGGAGCGGCTTGTTGGCTAGAGCCATCCGGTCCTCTGCGTTCTTCCAGGACCGCCGCTGTGGGGAAGAGGTAGGCGGTGAGCCCCTCAGGCTCAGGGCTGTGCCCACCCAGGGCCTCCTGACCCTCTGCCATAGGACCTAGGGCTCAGGGAGGGGAAGGGGAGACAGTACCTTTTTCCTGAAAAGCTTATCTTCTTTGCCAGATTTTAGCTGTCACAGGAAAGAAAGGATGCAGAGCTTGCTCCCAGGGTTCATGGAGTCTGGTCCCCTGTACACCCAACCCACCATGAGTGCCCAGTCTCAACAGTAGGAACAGGAGGGAAGCCTTCTCCACAGAGCCCCCTCCCTCACATCTGACTATCAGATTGGGGGGCTGGCTGCTAGCCTCAAGGAAGAGGCTGGAAAGTCGGAGTATGGTTGAGCTGGTCCCACCCTACTGACCTCCCACCCCAGCAGACCCAGAGATCTGGAGTCTCCCATTTCCATCGCATTTGGCTCTGAAGCAGGTTCCAGAGCCTTCAGGCATTCCCAGTCAAACCTTAATGGCTAGACCACTGGGAGAAGAAACTCCAGGCGCCACCTGGTGGCTGACGATGGAAAAGACTGGTGGGCAGAGCAGGGCTGGCCAGGTCCTGAGGTACCCTAGATCACAGGGTTTCCCATGGGCAGCTTCAGCTTCCGATCCCAACCGACCCAGCACCCATCACACAGAGAGCTTCCCAGGCCCCACGCCAGAACCAGCCTCAGAAAGCCGGGCCTGAAGCCTGGGAACCCTCGGTGAACAGGTGCCTCAGGAGAGTCTGCCGCCAGGGGTTCGCGGCCCAATGAGGGGACACAGCCAGGGACTCGTGAGTCCTCAGGGCTCAGGAGGGTGGGGCACGTGGGAGCACCTGCTGCTGGAAGTAAGTGAGACTGGATCTCCACCAGGGGCTGAGGCTGCTGCCTAGAGGGGGCCTCGGCGAAAGGTGAGAGGAGGAACCGGGGGACGTTGGAAGCGTCGAGGCCTAAAGGGGGCGGGAAGAGGAGTGACTTGCTGATTGTCCCCTCCTGTCATCTGGGCCGGGCTCTCGGGATGTATGTGACCTGCTCAGGGCAGCATGAGGCCAGGATCCCGAGTTCTGCCCGCTGCCGCCCCTGCCACCATCCCCGCACCCCAGGACCAGCCAACACCAAACCCTCCTGTCCCAGCCCCTCTTAATCCATACTCGCTTGCGTCCACTCAGCTCCTGGGGCTTCTCGTATTTCCGCTTCCTCCTCAGGTGCACGTCGTCAGACTTTCGGCGCAGGATGCCATCTGGGGGCACCTTCTTAGGGTGCTCGTCCGACCTGCGTCGGGGCGCCTCCTCACACTCACTCCTCCGCTTGGCAGGCTCCTGCCCTTCCTTGTTGTCCCGGTTCATCTTCTGCTCCTTGAGCAGGGAGCCGGGCAGGTTTGAGGCGTACTTAAAGCCTGGGCCACGCTTTTGCTTGTAGGCCAAAAAGAAAGAAGGAACAAACCAACTGTATATCTTTGGACCTGCCCCCTGCCGCACCCGGAATCTGCCGCCCCCACCAGCCCAACAGCCTGGTACAGGCCAAGGCCCGCCTTCCCACTGACCCCGGGACCTGGAGCCCAGCACTCACTTTCCCGGTCTTGCCAGCATGGTTGCACTTTGGACACTCCCAGCAGTTTGGAAGCTCATCATTGACCACACCCTCTGACTCCTTAATCTGCAAAGGACACACAGGAAGTCAGCAAGCTGGCAGGGTGGTGAGGGAGCCCTGGCTTCATGGGCATGCAGGTCTCTGTGAGGCCCCATCAGCCAGAAACAGCCAACACTCCCTCCCAAATGCCACCTTCATGTCCCTGTTAGCCAAAAAAAACAAGAGTGGTGTAGAGCTGGGCAGGACGAGGGGCTCTGGAGTCAGACCGGGGTTCAGACCCTGATTTTTTACCTCACTTGCTCTGCGATTCTAGGCAAATCCCTTGGTCACCTGGCTCACTGGGGGGTCGTGAGGGCAGGGCCAGGCGCAGACAGCATGCAGCACACTGCTCAGTCAGACGTGGAGATCACTGTGGCCACACCCACCCTGACTCTCTTAAGGCACGCACATCCATACTGGCTCTAATGCAGGTAAAACAGCCAGGTGCAATGCTGTGTCCCTGCGACAGAAGGCCCAGCCCAGAGGTGTCATCCCCAAACTGTGGAACCCACTGCCTAGGAAAGACAGTTCCAGCCCAGAGGTCACCAGAAGGTGAAGAAGGGAACCCTGCCCTGGGCACACCAAGGGAACAGGTTCCCAGCACAAAGGAACAGGAATGCAGCCACCTGTTGTTTTAAGACCTGCCCTCCCCTGGCTCAGGCGCCTGTTCTCCCAGAAGCCCCAAGGCAGGACACCAGCGAGCAGCCCCACCACCTGAGTCTCTCCCTCTGGCCCAGTTTTTGAGTGCAAGACACAGCACTCTCTGTCTTTGGACACTCTCTGCAGTCAGGGTACTGGCAGCTAGGTGTGTATACATGTTCATCCCCTCACAGACGTGGGTAGAAGCTCTGAGCTACTCCAGACCCTTCTTGCCCTGGATTCATCAAGACACACGGAATCCCCCAGACTCAGGGGTCCTCCTGGAACTCACCAAGCTACCTGAAGTCCCCATCCCCTCACCAGCAGTCTCCAGGGAGGGAACCTAAGACCCTCCCCAGCATCAGCACCACCGGAGGCCCAGGGGTGAGGTGAGGGTGGGGCGTGTGGAGCAGCACAGCCAGACCCCCCGGGGACCACTCACCTTCAGGCATCCAGGGTGGATGATCTCATTGCAGATGGAGCACTCCATGAGCATGAGGTTGAACTTGCCTTCCTCCTCTTCCACTGTGTCTTCCTTCCCAGCCTCGCCACACACAAGGCACACGGCGGTGTGGGGCAGCACAGGCTGGAGGGCATGGGGCAAAGTCAGCATGTAGCAGGGAACAGACTACTCGGAGTGCAGGCCCAGGGGGAGAACTGCTCTCCTCAGGCCGGCCAGAGGACGCCAGAGAAGTGGCTGAAGCACTAATATCCACCCATTAATTTACCCAACCATTCATTTGTGTACTTCCTGGGCCACTACCTCTTGTGCCAGGTTCTACTCTTAAGTGCTAGGGATATAGCAATAAACTAGCCAGATCCATATCTCTGCCATCCTGAGCATGCACTTCAGTGGAGGGAAACAGAGACAGACAAATGAAGGACAGCACACCAGCTACTAGTATCACAGCATTGTATGTGGGATGGTGATAAGGGACATGGAGAAAAATAAAGCTGGGAGGGCCAGGGATGAGGAGTGGGAAGGAGGTTCATTGTGAATTGGGTTCAGGGACAGCCTCACTCAGGTGACGTGGAAGGAGGCAGGGAGTGACCTAGGCCCAGATCCAGGTAGGGCATAGGGTGCGCCTCAGAGGGAACCCCCAAACCAGCAGGTGTTAAGATACAGTCCATGGGCCCTTAGGGGTCCCCAAGACCTCTTCAGGGAGGTCGGTGAGGTCACAACTATCTCTAGAATAATACTAAGCCGTCCTCTACCTTATTCACTGTGTCAATACCTGCCCTCTGGTGCAGAGCCAGACACCGTGGCAACTTAGCACGAACCAAGGCCACGGCACCTAACCGACTAGTCATCACAGGATTATTGCCACATACCCAAAAAGTTGTATTTCACTTAAGAATGTCTCTGATTAAACAGTAAAACCTACTGTTTATTACACTCTCAACCCTCGAGTACACATTCTTTCACCATTCTGTGCAACAAAATAAAAGCATGTGTAAAGGACTGCCGCTGACGGACGACAGAAAAGCACCAGTGTGACTCGGCAGTGAGCTGAACAGCCACTTTCTTCAAAGAACAACATTTTTACTCAGAAGAATGGCTGGTAGAAAAACCATGGTTACATAAACATAGAATTACCATGTGACGCAGAAATTCCACTCCTAGGTATATATCCAAGAGCACTGAAGGCAGGAACTCAAAAGAATACTTGTACACCAATGTTCATTGCAGCACTGCTCACAACAGTCAAAAGGTGGAAACCACCAAGGGCCCATCAACAGATGAATGGATAAACAAAAAGTGGCACGTACACACAATGGAATATTACTCAGTCATGAAGAGAAATGATGTTCTAACACATGCTATGGATGAACCTTGCAAACAGTACGCTAAGTAAAAGAAGTCAAATGTAAAAGGACAAATATTGTATGATCCTACTTAATGTAAAATATCTAGAATAAACAAATGCATAGAGACCAAAGTTTATCAGTGGTCACAGGGATGAGGGGGAGATGGGGAGGTACTGCTTACAGTGTACCGAGCTTCTGTCAAGGGTGATGAGAAAACTGGCAAACAGACAGCGGGGATGGCTGCACAACACAGCAAGTGTGATTAGTGTCGCTGAATTGTACACGTAAAAATGTTTGAAATGGCAACCGTTTTGTTACATATATTTCACCACAATAATTTTTTTTTTTTTTTTTTTAATTCAAGTCCCATAAGGAAAAAACAAAAAACAACCCATGGTTATGGAAACCTGAGTATTGGGCAGATATTTTCTTAAAGACGAAAGAAGTGAGCCTGTTGCTTCTAGAAAAACAACTGACAGCATTTGCTACAAATGATAAAATTTAAGTTTTTAGAAGAATTAGAATTTTGGAAAACTTACATTAGTCAATACAAACTGGACAGCTCCCCAATGCTTAAAGATTTTTTTCTGATGAGATTAGTGAAAATATTAACAAATGTGATTTTTTGGATGATATCTGACGTGCCAATATTTGGAAAATCTGCCTAATTCGTGTGAGCCAATATTTTCCAAACGATCAATGTGTGAGGTTACAACTCATGCATGAGCAAATGAGCTATTCAAAGGGCAGACAAGAGGAATGGATTTTAATGTAACAGTACAGAAAGTTCACTGATAACAGTTTCAGATTCTGTGTTGCAACTAACCTTTAAGAAACCGCTACCTGTTGAGTTCCAGTGGAGCATCAGAACTATCCAGTTACCTGAAAAGGCTATTAAAACACTCCTCTTTTTCCCACCTATACACTGGTGGAAGGCCAAACTTTCCTCATACATTTCCACCAAAACAACTTATTACAACAGATTGAATATGTAAGCAGATATGAAAACCTAGCTTTATTCTAATGAACCAAACATAAAACAGATTTATAAAAATATAAAACATCATTCTTTCTTACTAATTTTTTTTTTAAAAACTCTTCCATAGAAACACATTATTTATACTAATATGTAGCAGGTTTTTTGTTATTTTAAAAAAATGAACTGAAAATACCTCTTACATTTCTCAGTTTTAATTTCTAATACGGTAAATATCAATAAATATAACCCACATAAAAAAAGTTCTTTGGGGTCCTCATAATTTTTAAGAGCATAAAGGGGTCCTGAAACCACAGGTCTGAGAACTGAGGCACTAGACTGACTATAAGCCCCTTGAGGACAGGGCCCAGGTCAGACTTATCCTCGCCCTGCCCCTAGTATATGCCCTGCCTCCCAGCACCTATTACAGTCCCCAGTAAGACCTGGCGATCTACTTCTGAAAAAAAGCAGCCAACGAAAACCCTACGGATCACAATGGTTCAACTGGACCAACAACTGCATGGGGTTGCCAAGAGTCAAGGACTGACTTGACAGTAGCTAAACACAGAATGAGCACACAGTCAGTTCTTGTTGAACTGCTTCAGGGGAGCTTCAAATAAGCTGGGGTATCCATTCTACTGGTAAATGGAAAAGACTCCATAAAATGGCACAAAAATTTGAATTCAAATGCACAGAACACTAAAGGTAAAAGACATCATCCACTCAACAGATACCCAACGAACATCTGAAAAGCATGAAACAAGGCACCAAGAAGGACATAGCAAAGAGGAAGACAGCCGCTCCCCGCGAGGTATTTGGGAAGACAAAGGCACAACTCTCTAAAACCCAAGGAAAACCTGGAAGCATCAGGTTCAAGTGTTACAAGAATCAGAAGCAGCAGAGACTGATTTCTGGAGGACTCAGGCGACAGGGAATCTGGGCTCTAACAGAGACAGAGAAATGGGCAGTGGGAAGGCAGAAGGGACCTCCAAGAGTAGACAGCAACATGACCAGGGCAGGGAAGAGAGCACGGGATGCAGCAGCAGTGGGGAGAGGCTGGGGTGTGGCAGGCAGGGGCACCAGGTGGGTAAGGTAATGATTCTGAAACAGGTGGCATGATGAGAGGGAGAAGCAGAGCAGAGGCTACTGCAGAGATCCACGGGGAAAACCCAGGCCTGGGCTCTGGAGAAGCTGGCACTGGATAGTGGAAGGGGAGGAAGTCTATGGAGGAGCCGCACAGACCACGAGAAGCAAAAGGAGGGCTCGGCTGCTTATGGGAAGAGAGAGGCTTTGGCACAGCAAGAGAGAGGGCAGCTGAGTGCAATAAGCCAGGTAAAAAAGGACAAATACTGTATAACCCCACTTATAGGAAATATCTAGAACAGGCAAATGCATAGAGACATGGGGGCAAGGGGAATGGGAGTCACTGAAGGGGTACAGAGTTTGCTTGGGGTGATAAAAGTTTTGGAAATAGACAGTGGTTATGGTCGCACAAAGGAGCCCTGGTGGCGCAGTGGTTAAAATGCTTGGCTGCTAACTAAAACCTCAGTGGTTTTAACCCACCAGCCACACTGCAGGAGAAAGATGCGGCAGCCTGCTTCCATAAAAATTTACAGACTTGGAAACACTATGGGGCAGTTCTACTCTATACTAGAGGGTCACTATCAGTTGGAATCGATACAATAGTAGTCGGTTTGGTTTTACTGTGTTTGTACAACATTGTAAATATAAATAATGTCACTAAACTGCATATTAAAAAATGGTTGAAACTGGAAATTTTAGGTTATATATATTTTGCCACAAACGAAAGGAAAAAAAAAAAATTCTACCAAGGTGGTCAAAAACAAGGAAAATCTAAAACTGTCACAGCCAAGAGAAGCCTAAGGAAACGTGACAACTAAATGAAATTTGGGATCCTAGATGAGATCCTGGAACAGAAATAGAACATCAGGGAAAAACTAAGGTAATGCGAATTAAGTACGGACCTTAGTTAATAATAACGTATTACTACTAGTTGGTAAAAACACTAATATGTTAATAATACAGGAAACTGGGTGCAGGGTATATGGAAACTCTCTGTACTACCACTGCAGTTTTTCTGTAAATCCAGAACTTCTTAAAAAAAAAAAAAAAAGAAAGAGAAGGGCCCAGAAAATGAATACAGATGGGCTTGTGTATGGATGTGTACAATGTGGAAGTGCCCCAACAAAGCAGCAGAACTCGAGGGTGACAGAGCCTGCATCTGGAGGCCACAGCAGAGGTCGGGGAGAGGAGGCCCACACGAACATGAGCTTTCCTCAACCAACACTCACCATGCCCAGCAAGTGACAAGGATGAATGCGACACGGGGAGAGCTGATGCCCAGGACAGCTGGGCTGGGACAGACAATAAAGACCGGCCAGGCAGTCATTACAGCGTCCCACACTCAAGACGGTGATGGCTCAGCTTGACAAAGAAACCGTGGAAGGGAAGAGACAGGGACCACATGGCTCTGGGGAAGGGAAGGAATGTCTCAGAGAACAGCAGGGGGGTGGGGGGTGGGAAGGAGGCCAAAGCGGAAGACAGTCCTGGGTTCACTGCCAAGATGCTAACTTTTAGGTGAGACTGTCTTCAGAACCAACAAGCCCAACAGACAACCTCTCTTAAATCCTGACCAAATCCAATGGCCACATGGACCCCGGGACCCTCCGCACGCACGCGCACACACACACAATTTCATTTTAGGGGGCTCACAAATTCCCTGAAGTCCATGTGAACGGCCTGGGGCACAGGTACCGAGTGAAAACCACACTCCAATCAGTGCGTGTGTGGTGGGAGAAGGAGAAGGGGCCTCGGGCTTGGAGGGATATCAGCAGCCAGGGAGAAGGGCTGGCACTCAGCCATGCCAGACTGGGCCCGTTGAGGAGCTACCCCAGGGCTGAGGAATTCTGCCCCTCCAGCCCAGCCTGCTTTTCCACGGAGCAGGGAGATCACTGCTCCTACATGAGGATTGTTGGGCCCTGGGAGCAGAGCCCTACCGAAGGCAGAGTGTGTGTGTGTGGGACTCTACTGATGTCCATGAGTGGGGGGCACTCATGGGTAAACCGAAGACTGTTCCAAGCTACCAAAGCCAAAGCCTGCGCCCGCACCCCTGACCAGGAGCAAGGCTTGTGGCACTACCCCTGCTGGAGGTGAGGCAGGCTAGAGGGGCTGGGAGGCACCATAAATCACCTCTGCTCTTCTGGGCAGTCCCTCAGGAGGGGCTCTGACCTTCCACCCAGACCTCTGACTTTGAAGACAGAACAGGAAGGAAGGGAGGGCCCCGAATTAAATGTTGGCAATGGGGTCACAGACAGGACAGGCTGCTTGACATCTTTAATGGCAGAGGACTTCAAAGTACGTGGCCATCTCAGGAAGGAAGGAGTTATGAGGCCACTGGAATGTGACGGAAAATGAGCCTGAACACGCGGCAGGGCTGCCCCAATGCTGCATAGAGGGACCTGGGAACAGAACCCGCCCAGATCCCCATCTTCCCAAGGGAGCACCCTCAGATGGTATGCAGTCCCGGAAGGATGAACAACCAGGTCTGATGCAGAGAGGGGTGGTATCTGGAGTCAGAAGTGGCCCACGGTCCTGGAGGGTGGAAGAGCTCCCACCTCCACTCTCAGGGGTGGTCCCCTCCACCCCAGCACTGGGGTATCAGCCACGCACTCACCGCGATGCACTGCCGCATGATGCAGCTCTGCTTCATCCGCCCGGGGCCCCCGAACTTCTTCATGTCCTTGCAGAAGTGGCACTCGCCGCACTCCGTCCGCAGGCAGGCCTCGCACTTGCGGCATCGCGTCCGGCGCCGGCGAGCTCCCGCCGTGGTGCGGTTCGCAGCCAACTTCACTGCGGAGGCCGGGCCCAGCTTCCCCTTGGGCCGACCCACCGCCCGGTTCTGCAAATGAACAGACAGCACTGGTGAAACGGGAGGCTGCAAGGCGGCCAGATCTTATTCCAGGGCATCAGCCCTGCTTCTGACCACAGCATGCCCTGGTGCAAGGCCCTCATGGGCCCCTGTGCCACTCCACGCCACAGGATAAGGCCCCGCTGGCCTCTGGCCTCGCCTGCGGCCAGCCAGGTCGTGCCACTCGAGCTTCCCCAGCTGGCCTCTGCTCCTTCTGTGAGAATGCCAACCCCTCCCACTCCACTGGGCGAGGGCATCATGGCTCAGGACCCAGTCCACACTCTGCTTTCTTCTGGAACCCTTCCCCGTCGCCGTGCACTGGATCCAGGCCCTCCTATGGGTACCCATCACAGCATGTCCGTCGTAATGGTCTGCTCCCTCACTGGTCTTCCCTCTGAGACAGGAGCACAGGAGGGCAGTGACCAGGGCATCTTGTCCACCACTACATCTCTAGATGACTGCCTGGCACATCACCAACCCAGGGAGAATGAGATTTAACTCCAAGGTCCACTGACTTCTGAGACCGTCCCTAAGTGGGCTCCAAACTCCTCGTTCCCTGTGACTCAGGAAGAGCAAAAAGTAGATAAACAGAAAACCAAATACTCATTGCCATTGACTTGATTCTGACTCATGGCAATCCCACGTCATAGAATAGAACTGCTTCGTAGGTTTTTCTTGACCATAATGTTTATGCAAGCAGATCACCAGGCCTTTCTACTGTGGCACTGTTGGGAGGGTTCGAAGCACAACCTTCAGGTCAGTAGTCAAATGCAAGCTGTTTGTGCCACTCAGAGACCTACGTAAACAGAAAACAGTGCTAAATCCTAAACAGTGACCGAAACAGCATAGTTCCTGCCCTGGAACACCTATATCCTGGCCACCAGTCCCAAGCCTCCTGCACACTCAGGATCCGTGGTGGAGCGCCTAGGCTGGCCGCTGGTGGACCTGTCCCCCTAGGTCCCCTGTCCCCCTAGGATCTGAAGCAGAAGGACTAGGATAGTAGAGTTCATCTTGTCTGAAACATCTTTTCTAAAGTTTGCTGAAAAGCAGTTAGTCCCGCTGTCGGGGAGACACAGGACTCACCCCTTGATCTGATCTAATCGACATCTAAGGCTCAGAGCCCTTTTAAGCTCACTGAACCACCTCAGTCACAAGGTTTCAGTCTTTGGTCACACTTGGCTCCCTAAACAAAATCCCATCCAATATCCTTTTGCTAACTCATGTGTCCAGAGGTTACTGCTACTATGCACGGAAACAGTGGAGAGGGTTCTCCTTCCCCTCTCCCACAGCACCCCCAACATCATAAAGGAGAAAAACCATCCACCTGTCTCCCCAGTTAAAGCCTCCCCTCATCAATTCCCTCTACAGTGTGGTGGTCCCTGCAGAGAGCTGGCAAGTTCACACAACAACTGCACGACCCCCTTTGGTGCTGACACCTAAGCTGATTCCTCCCTGGGATTTAGTTCTCCCCACAGCCTGCAGCACCCACAGAAACCGCCAGACCATTGACGGCCAGAGCGCCCACCTTAGGTGCACTGCTGCTCCGGAACTTTGTCCTGCTCAACTTGCTCTGCCCCCAAGAGGAAAGGAGATGCTGGACCCGGCTTCCCTGACCCGCATGTCCTCGCGCCCTCCGCCCCTAGGTTGGCCTCTCCCACAAAGGGACTCCAGACTCAGTCATGTCTGCCCTCGCCTCTGGGGCACCCTAGCCACTGGCCCTACCACGAGGGAGGTGCATGAGGGCAGGCCAGGGCTGAAGGGCCACCTGTGGGCGTGCCGGCACACAGACCAGCTGCCTCAGGAAAAGGGGCTGCTCAACACCAAGTTACTATTCATTCAAGCAGCACAGGGTCTCTCACTAGTCCTATGTGACACTCCTGTGAGGCCTGTGGTGCCCCCTCTAGTCACACACGTTAACAGTCCCACAGCAAACACTAAATGGGATAAATAGGATAGGATGTCACATCATTTCAGACCAGGTTTTGCCACCAAATGAATAGAAACGATCCATTTTTAGAGCTCTTTGGATTTTAGAACGGCACACAGGGACTCTGGACCTGAACACAACAGGTGACCACAGAGCAATGACGAGCACCGAGAGGAGGCAGAGGCAGCAGTGATGACGACGGTGAGGATGGCAGTCATGGCAGGTACTTTGCTGAGTACCTTCAATGTGCAGGCACTGTGCTCATCACATTACATGTGATTTTACCTCATTTCCCCAATAATAGCCCTATGAGATGTATTAATGTTCCCATTTTCCCAATGAGGAAACTGAAGCTACAGACTACATGACTTGCCCCAGGTCACTGAGCCAGCTGAAGATCTGTATACTGCAGGCCACACTCCTAACACTATAAATGACAGCGGATATACCAGAGAAACAGGTGAGGTCCCTACACAGTTCACGGAATTGACCAAATCCCCTGGAAGAGGTTCACATTTAGTGCTTAGGCGCCCTTAGAAGGAAGGGTGCCAACCAAAGGTGCAGAGAAGTACTTCCTCTTCCAGGGAAGTGGAAGGCTGGAAAGCTTCCTTCTCTCTTCCCTGACCATAAGACTTTCTGATTCTACCCCTATAAAGAGCACACGTCCTGTTACCAACTCACTCTTCAAATCCCCGAGCTAACCCCAAGGATCCAGATGAGGCTCAGGGAGATCAGATGAAAACAACCTGAAAAATGGGGAGCGACGTGGGCAGATTCTGAAGCCTCGAGTCAGGCGCAGAGGGAGCAGGCACACAGCAACTGCCACGGAACAAAATCAAAGAGGAAGGGCTGGAACTCCGACCCTCAGAGCAAGAGATACTAAGGTCTAGCTTCTTTGGTGAAGGACTTCAAAAATTCCAGGAGTCCAAGAATGGCTCCCTCCTTCCACTCAGGTATAAATGGCCACTAGCAGCCTCTGACCACAGACAGCAGTGTCTGTGGCAAGCAAAAAGTGGGAGCAACTCCACCAGAGTCATAAAACTCACATGAGACTGTGAAACGATACCACCTTATTGTGCTTTCCAAAGCACTTTTCCAACTTACGGAAAAAACAAATCTGCCTGGATTTCAATAGCAGCTGACATATCCTGCAAAACAACAGATAGCAGCAATGCATCCAAAGGAAAGGTGCAAGAAGCTGCTGCTTCTGAAGACCTCCATTCAGCCCTCTCTACCCAGCTGCCAAATCAAGCTAGAAAACTTTTGCTCCCTGTAGCCTCGCTGTCCAGCCTTTGGAGGAACTGGCCACCAGCTGGCTTGTCAAGAGTGACTTGAGCAACACCTGAAATGCAAGATCCTAATAAAGAATGCCGAGAAAACCAACAGGTAAGAAAAGAACCTTGGAGGTGGCCTCTACTGACAAGTCCAACGAGGATTCTGAAGAAGCCACAAGGTAACCATGTGATGGCAAGACAATGGAAAACAGTGACACACAGAAGACAAAAGGAATAAGAAGGAGGGTGAACAAGCCAGAGCACTCTCATTCTGGCACAAAGCTCCTGTCCAAATCTCTTTTACATGATAACCAAAGGTCTACACACCAAATCTAAATTCCACTCTCTCCTACCTTTGCCCCACTCACTGGTTTTTTTAAGTAAACCAGAATCCCTCTTTGTTAATTTGAGCATAGGAGTTCTTCTCAACAAAGGGAATCATGGCATCCATTGATTTTCACTTACAAACCAGTCTCCCCAACCCCAAGTCCCCTTGTTGAGTTTATCCACCCAGGATCCTCAGCTCCATTTGGTAAAGAAAATATGGGGTCCACACAAAGAAGTTCTAATATTCCAATACCATTTCTCCATCAGCAACTCGTAAGTATCTCCCTTAAAGAGAGCGGTTAATTCATTCATTCCAGACATACTTACTGATTGCTTCCAATAAAACAGATAATGTCCTCTAGAATATTCATGAGGAGAACATCCTCAATCCTTCATCTCTAAATTACTGGGATTAATTTACTAGGATTAACCTAAATAAATGAAAAGACAACTCATGTTCATGGATTGGAAGAATTAATATTGTTAAGATGGCAGTACTCCCCAAAGTGATGTACAGATTCAATGAGATCCCTATCAGAATTCCAGCTGGTTTTTTACAGAAATTGACAAGCTGATCCTAAAATTCATATGGAAATGCAAGGGACCCTGAACAGCCAAAGCGATCTTGAAAAAGACGTTGGAGGACTCACACTTTTCAATTTCAAATTTTGCTACAAAGCTACAGTAAACAAGATAGTGTGGTAGTGGCATAAAGATAAACATACAGATCAATAAAATAAAACTGAAAGTGCAGAAATAAATGATCAATTGATTTCTGACAAGGATGCCAAGACCATTCAGTAGGGAAACCAGTAAAAAACACTCAGCTGCCATCAAGTCGATTTTGACTCATGGCAACCCCATGTATGTGAGAAAGGAACTGTGCCCCACAGGGTTTTCGATGGCTGATTTTTCTGAGGCACCTCTGTGTGGACTCAGAACTCCATACTTCTGGTTAGGGCAGCTAAGCGTGTTAACCATCTGAACAATTCAGAAACTCCTTCCGTGGGGAAAGAATGGTTTTTTTTAACAAACGGTGCTGGGACAACTAAATATCCACACGCAAAAGAATGAAATGGATCCCCATCTCACAATAAATAACAAAAATTAACTCAAAATAAAACAAAGATCTAAACATAAGAGCTAAAACTATAAAACTCTTAGAAGAAAGCATAGGTGTAAATCTTCAGAACCTTGGGTTAGGCAATGGTTTCTGAGATGCGACACCAAAAGCACAAGTGACAAAACAAAAAAGATAAACTGGACTTCATCAAAATTAAAAACTTCTGTGCTTCCAAAGACACTATCAAGAAAGTAAAAAGGCCACAGAATAAGAGAAAATATTTACAAATCATATATGTGATAAGATCTGTACAAAAAACTCTTATAACTCAACAATAAAAAGACAAATAACCCAATTTTAAAAATGGGCAATGGATCTGAATACGTATTTCTACAATGAAGACATATAGATGGCATATAAGCACATGAAAAGATGGTCAACATCCTTAGCCAATAGAGAAAGTAACCTACACTGGAGATTCACTGATTACCCTCCTCACTCACACACCCACCCACCCATCCCAGTGTTTGCTGCTATTACCTGCTGTACAGTCGGTCCTGACTCATAGCGACCTCCTGCACATGGACTAAACGATGCCCAGTCCCCCGCCATTCCCATGATCAGTTGTGGATCGGACTGTTGTAATCCATAGGGTTGGTTTTCATTGGTAATTTTCAGAAGTAGATCACCAGGTCTTTCTTCCTAGTCCATCTTAATCTAGAAGATTC